CAGGGATCTCAGAGGCGCAAGAGGTCCGCGGGGGTGCGAGCAGCTCTCTCCCGGGTGTCAGCGGGGCGGATCCCCCACCATCGGCGCCGTCGACCAGGCCACCTAACTGTCAATGCGGTCAAGCGGCTCGACGAGTAGGACCCGTCACAGCGGTAAGTAGATGTTTGTTTTTCAAACGTACCCGGCTTGTAAGGTTGTCTCCTTTCGTTGATCCTAGCCTTGAGTTCGCTGATAGCGTTTGATCTTGGTGCGATTTTGCTTGGCACCTTCGCACGTGCCCATCCTAACCCACACATGCCCATCTATACCACCTGCCCCGGATCGCGCGACACAGGACGGTGCCGCGAACGGGACCATATCCTGGATGTGTGCCAAGGCGGACAGGAACCAACAGTGCAACTTCTTCGAGCTCATCAGCCGACCGGGAGGGGGAAGCACTTCCACCGGCCGCAACAACAGCGGCATGGGGGGCGGCGGCACACTTTCACGGGGAGGCACAGACGGGAGGTCGGTGGGTGGGTATGCCGCTCCCACTCAGTCATCCCGCCGCCGCGCGGCCGACGTGTTTCAGGTTCGGCCTGGGCGCTCAAGGGGGAATAGTGAGAAGTGATGATAACCCCGGGCCGTACCAAAAAAATTTCAAAGATGTCGACCTTCCACTCTCTTTGGTAATACCGGGCGGTGATGCGGGACGACAACCACCGGGCGGTGATTTGGTTGCTTTTGGTCCGCCTCGTTCACTTTTTTTCTGTTCATTGGAGGTTAGTGCGTGTGACCTCTCTCCATGTCGGCGTGTGGGTGTTGATGGCGTCGACTGGTTGAAGATATGGGTTCCGACACGTTTAGCCGGTGGCGTTCAACTAATGGAGAGTCCAAGAAGGTAGCCGCGTGTCTTGGGTTCAAATGCGTGTGACCTCTCTCCATGTCGGCGTGTGGGTTTTGATGGCGTCGACTGGTTGAAGAGATGGATTCCGACACGTTTAGCCGGTGGCGTTCAACGAATGGAGAGTCCAAGAAGGTAGCCGCGTGTCTTGGGTTCAAATGCGTGTGACCTCTCTCCATGTCGGCGTGTGGGTTTTGATGGCGTCGACTGGTTGAAGAGATGGATTCCGACACGTTTAGCCGGTGGCGTTCAACGAATGGAGAGTCCAAGAAGGTAGCCGCGTGTCTTGGGTTCAAATACCATCGTAACGATTTGTGTTCGTGTTGTTTGCTGTTCACGTACTTTGTGAACGGTTGTCCACCTGTTCCGGGGGCGGCTTGCATATTTATAGCGAACCCATCGCAGCGGTTGCACTGTGTATGGGTTTGCTGCCTTTTTTTTTTCTGTGTGTGTGTGTGTGTTTTTTTTTGGGGTAGGGGGAGCGAACTTATCGCTGGGGTGGCGTTGTGTGTGGGTCTCCTGCCTTGTTTTTTGTCTTTGATGTTTTCTTTTCTTTTGGCGGGGGGGGTTCCTCATGTTTCCGTGGGCGGCTTGCATGTTTCGAGCGAACCCGTCGGAGAGGCGGCGTTGTCTGCGGGTTTGCTGCCTTTTCTTGTCTTACCTGTTTTCTTGTTTTGTTTTGTTTTTTTCGTGTGTGTGTGTGTTTTTTTTGGGGGGGTGGGGGGAATAGTTCATATTTCCATGGGGGGCTTGCATGTTTGGAGCGAACTCATCGGCATGGGTGGCGGGCGTTGTGTGTGGGTCTGCTGCCATTTTTCTTGTCTTGAAAGCGTGTGGGGATGTTTGTGGCGGCGGGGAGTTATTGATATTTCCACGGCCAAAGTCTTGGCCGACTTCGGCGGTGGCCACGCACAGAATGAACGGGCGTAGCGGCTTGCTATACCCTCTTTATGTGTTGGGTTGTTCTTGTTCACGCCTTCTCCACACAGTNAAAGGATTCATCATATTTCCGTGTGCGGCTTGCATGCTTCGAGCGAACCCGTCGGAGGGGGTGGCGTTGTACAGTAGGGGGCCCTCTATAGTGCCGGTATGTGTTCAGAGAGCAAAGCGGCACTATACCGGGCACCGGCACTATTCAGAGTACAGAAAGACTTGATATTCCGGTGTGTGCGAGCCGAAAACACCGGCACTATACCGGCAACCGGCACTATTCAACCGGCACTATATCGGGCCACCCACGGCATGTGGGTTTGCTGCCTTTTTTCTTGTCTTACATGTTTTTTTTGTTTTTTTTCGTGTGTGTATGTTTTTTTTGTGGGGGTGGGGGGAATAGTTCATATTTCCATGGGGTGCTTGCATGTTTGGAGCGAACTCATCGGCATGGGTGGCGGGCGTTGTGTGTGGGTCTGCTGCCATTTTTCTTGTCTTGAAAGCGTGTGGGGATGTTTGTGGCGGCGGGGAGTTATTGATATTTCCACGGCCAAAGTCTTGGCCGACTTCGGCGGTGGCCACGCACAGAATGAACGGGCGTAGCGGCTTGCTATACCCTCTTTATGTGTTGGGTTGTTCTTGTTCACGCCTTCTCCACACAGTACTTTGTGACTGTCCAACCGTTTTGATGTGTGGTGGGTGAGGGGGGGCAGGTGTACGACGTGCGTGAAGCAGTGGGTAGTGAACCTCTTCCGCTCCGCTTGATTTGACTTTCTCCTGTGCCGTTTTTGGGATACTTTGCATAACTCTTCGTACCTGGTCCAAGCATGTCGTGTGGGTGCGCAGCCTGGGCTGCTATCGCGGGAATCGTACGTACGAGGTGTCGTCTGATTGGTGTAACCCCACCCCATTGCGAGTCCTTTGGTGGTTAGATGTACTTTACACTTTGGTGGCTTCAGTTCCACGTTTGCTGCCCCTTTGTCGATTCAAAGCGGTTCCAACCGTGACCTCTAACCACGAAAGTATAACGTATTCCTCGTGACCAAAGCGATGAGGTTTACCTCACTCCCAAGCACAGCCAAGAAATATAGTGCGATGTAGAGGAAATCGGTTGTTTAATTAGGGGAAAC